CCCCCCCTCTCCCCCGCCCCCCCCCTCCCCCCCCGCCGCCGCTCTTCTTCCTCTGCATGTAAAAATTCACGATTCATTTAATATATTTATTTAATATATTATTATTTAATATATTTAATATTATTATATATTCAATATATTATTAATTTAAATATTATTACATGTTTTCAAAAATTAAACCACCAAAAACAGTTTCAGTTTCTTTTAAAATTGAAATTAATCTCTGAATAAAACTACCAAACGCATTTCAGAAATAATTTCAAAATGAAAATGAAAACGTTTTCATTTTTATTTTCATACAGAAAACAAAATCATTTTGAAAACAATTTCAAACGCACCCAATGTTTTCTTTATGACTCTTTCTCTGCTCTTTTCACATGTTAACCTTATTTCTCTTTGTACCTCATTTTTCTTTTTAGTTTTCTTTGCCTCTTAGCAAAACATAATAATAATAATATATAGTACTTTTAATTTGTAAAAAATGTAACTAGTTGAGCCATGTGGAGAATAACTTTTTTAATTAGTCAGGTAGATAATAACTTTATAAATTTGATCCCATATTATTCTTCTTCTTTTTGTTAAATTTTCCTCTTTCTTTTAACTTTTTTTATTTATTTTTTTCTTCTTTCATTTTATCTATTGTCCTTTTGTATTTCCCCTCTAATATTCTTTAATAGTTCATTTTTTTTAATTTACAATATCTTTTTTAAAATATTTTTTTCTCATTTTTTAATTAAAATAAATCATTTTAAGTATGTCTCTACTATTTTTTTTCCCAAAAAAAAAAACTTGAATTCTTTTTGAAGGTATTTCTTTAAAATACTTTTTTTCTCACTTTCTTTTTAACATAAAACTTTTTTTTTTTTAAAAAGAATTAAAAATAAAACTAAAAGGACGTCATATCATGATAGGTATTTCGTTTGACCTAAAACTAAAAGTAAAAGGAAGAGAAAGGAATCTCAGATCCCAAATCAATCAGGGGGCACAAGAAGAGAAGAGCAATAGAAGAGCGAGCAATGTGGAGAAGGAATTTGGTTTCCTGGGCTATAATCGCAGCCGCAGTAGCGGCGGCAGCAGCATATCTTTCTGTATGTTCGGCTGCCGAATCGAAGTCGACGGCTTTCGTCAAAAATACCATTTCTTCCCACAAAATCGTCATCTTCTCCAAGTCCTATTGCCCGTAATTAATGACCATCTGTTGTTTTAAAACTTTTTTTTTTTTTGTTTCTGATCATCAAATTAAACTGATCCGATCGGTTTTTTTTTTTTTTTTTTTTTTGTAATAATAATAATGTTGTTGTTTTTAACACTCATTACAGGTATTGTAGGAGGGCAAAAGCAGTATTCGAAGAGCTGAAGGAAACACCCCATGTTGTTGAGCTCGATCACAGAGGTTGTTACCTGTGCCTGAAACTCAATCAAACATTTTAACTTTTACAACTACTTGTTCAACTTAATTCCCCTTCCAAAGCTTTTTTTTTTTTTTTTTTTTAATTTACTTACTAGTTAAATAAATATTCATTCTCGAATTTCTTTACTGATCATAGATTAAATCTGTATTGTGTTGTGTGTGTGTGTGGAAAATAGATGATGGGCACAACATTCAAGATGCTCTGAGGGAGATTGTCGGGAGGCGAACCGTGCCGCAAGTATTCATAAAGGGCGACCATATCGGCGGTTCCGACGGTAAAACTCGACTCAACTCAATGCTTTCTTGCTTGCTTCCCTCTCTGTTTCTTCTACATTGGAAAGTTTCCACTGGCATTCAACATAAACATAATTTGATTAATGCTTTGCAAGCAAATTTGACTCATGGAATCATTCTGATTATCCTCTGCAGATACTGTGGAAGCATATGAAAGCGGAGAACTCGCTAAACTTCTCGGCATTGCATTTACAGTGGCACATGATAAAGACGACGATCTCTAATTTTCAAATCCCGGAGGCGGAGGAGGGAGGCCGACCGCTGAGAAGCTAGCTAGCTCGGATTTATTTGCGCTGGATGTTTGGCTAAGAGAGTTGAGTAAAATTTTATGGAATTCTTTCCTTGGCAATTGGCACAGGAGAAGGTCTCGCATTGAAGTTTAGACCTTGTATTTTCTACTTCATTTGATCTCCATCTGTTGCTAATATGAGGAGGATTTACAATTCTGTAATGTTGAAGTAAGGATTCGCTTTTCGTAACTCGTTTCACTTTCAATTATTGTCTGGCTTCCCTCGTTCTTGTTTTGGAAGTGAACTTGTTTAATAGATGAGTTTTATGTCATGAGGTTTCCAAAGCTTCAAATAAACATCATTAGAACAAAGACAATATTTACTTACCAGATGGGTTCAAAACCAGGATTCTTTAGATAGCTCAAACCTTAAATTAGCTTTTCAAGCTAAACTATTAGTTGCTAATTCGTTGATTGCATGATTGGTAGTTTACTGGCTATTGTACAATTAGGAGGGGAAAAAAAGGGAAACTAGGAATGAAATGGAAGATTGGAATTGCCACCAAATTATCATCATTTAGGAAGAAAGTATTAGGAGTTTTTCATTAAAAAAAAAAATTAAGTTGGGACATATTTGAAAGGAATTATTTTAATTAAAAGAAAGTATTTCAAAGAAGAATAGTTTTAAATTAAGAAAACTGTCAAAGAATATTTGGGGAAAAAACAAAAAAAGACTGCGCAAAAAATAAAAAATAAAAACTCAACTAAAAAAGGATTTAGGAATTGCATTGCCACTTTCTTTGAAAATTTAGGACCGACAACACAAACTCTATATTATGTTCGTTTATATCAATGGATGGCTCTGGACAATGCTAGACTATGGATGTTGATATTTTTTGATGGGCTTAACATAAATATATTCATGCCACGGGTAACTTAGCTAGGTTGTAAAGGTGTACCTGAGGGTGTGCTTGGTTGGTAGTAATGGAATGGAAAGGAAAGCTCATTCCATCCAATTCTCTCATTTGGTTTCATTTTTTGGGTTAGAAAAGGCTTTCCTACGGCGAGCTCATTCATTCCTTCGGGGGCCAATGGAACTACTTTTCCATTTAGGCCTTATTTCCTTTTTGTCCAAAATATCCCCATCTCCCTTTCGACACTTCCGCCAGCTCCAGCCATCAGATCAACGAAGTTGATCGCGTCTGTGATCTCCGGTAACCTTAGAGGAAACTCGGAGGCTCAGATCTCGACGGATCTCTATTTGCGGAGGAGCTCCAAGGATTGTTGCCGATCGATTCATGATCTGGAATCACGATTCTTCGGCGGGATCTGTTCTAGATCTTCTCTTCACCGCGAATGACCTTCACAGAGTAGATGAAGGTTCGTTGCCAGATCTGGTTGTATCTAGCCACCACCGCGAGATCCTCTCCCCATACGATGCCACATCTGGTCTTCACCTCGACCTTTGCAGCGAGAACTAGCGACCATCAGACTCATCGAGGACAGGTCCATTGTTGTTAGTTTAAGAGCAGCGAGATCCTCTTCGTGTTTGTCCTTTTATTTTTCTGGTGATTAGATTTTCTTTTTCTTTTATGTGATGATTATTGATTTATCGAGGGTGAAAAAAAAAACGATAATTTTCCAGCAATTCAAGAGTAGATCTGAGCAAATTTAGATTTTTCGAATGGTGTGAGATATTTGTAAATTTTGTGAAGTTGTTCGGAGAGATTCTCTTTCCAAAACTTGTGTATGAGAGAGAGAGAGAGAGGAAATTTATGTGAATTTTTAGAACTTCCATTATTTCAGTTTTTAGAGTTGTTGTTGTGGTGGGAATCCATCCGTTTGGTTCGTTAATTTGAGTTTTTAATTCGAGTTGAGATGTGATGTTATGTGAGAGCTTTTTACTGTAACAAAAAAGTTAGATGTGACTGTTTTTTAGAGCTTTTTACTGTAACAAAACTCGAATTCTAAACTCGAATCAGCGAAAAGAACGAGACCTTAATTTCAATTATAGGTTGTAGATTCTGCCGAAATTTATCAGAGAGAGAGAGAGAGAGAGAAGAAACTTGGTGTGTAAACTTCCATTTCTTTAATTTCCATTCCTCATACATTGTTTTGAGGTCATCAATAGATTCAGAAACTTTGCAGAAACAGTTTGTACTGAGAAAAACATTCTTTTTTCTTTCCCTCGCTGAAAGGGAAAGTATACTATTTCAAATTGTAGTATAAATATAGGAAAAAGGCTTTTTCATGAAACTATTACTTGAAATTTATAGAAACTGTCGTGAAGTAAGAGCAGAATAACGCCTTTCGGAGGTACTCCTGATATTCTGCCTCTGCCTTTTTTATTTCCTCAAGCACCTTGTTCATTAAACCTCTATAGTGTTTTTCTTGCTGGAAAAATAGGTGACTTTTCCATTAGTAAACTTATATAGTCCAGATAAAAAGTATGCGCATGGAAAAACGTTTGCAGGAGTTGAAAGAATGAGAAGGAAAAAAGAAATAATTCGGTTCTTGTTTTTTGTTTTGTTTTTGAGTTTTGTTTGTTTGTCTTTTTGTTTGTTTTTTTCATTGTTTGCTACTGCAACTTCAAATGATCTTTGACTTGAAAGGTTGAGTTAATTCTGATAGATAAACAGTTGAGTTTAAATGTACTAATTTGGTTATTTATTGTAGGATAATGGCTCGCTTAATCTTTAGTAAAAGTAAAACTTTGAGAAAGAACAAGTAAACTAGATGACTCCTTATGAAGTCATTAAGGAGTCATCTAGTTTACTTGCTGGTGTTATTGAAAAAGCATCTGAACATTTAAGTCGTACTATCGGTGAAGATATGATAGAAAAACATAGCCGGATGTAGTTTTGGTGTTTGACTTTCTTTTTGGGATTATACGAGCATCTATGTTGTATATTTTGATGATACAAATATTTTTATATATGTAGTTGAATGATATATTGGTTCATTTTTATTATTGACAGGGGCAAAGTAATCATTTTACTCAATACATATTATGGTAGATGTCAAAAGTGATCATATTTGAGCATGTGATAATTTATTTTTATATAAAAAAATCAAATATTATTTTTTTTACCATTGAAATATAGTTTTTAAATTTTATCCTTCAAATAAATTTTTTTTCTCAATAATTAAATTATTTTTTTACTATTTTAATTAATTAAATATTGAATTACCTGATGATTATTAATTAATGATATTTTTGTCAAAATACAATTTATTTCCATTTCATTTTGTTGTCAACCAAATAGCATAATCTTCATTCAGGTACTGATTCCATAACTCTAACCAAACTAAAGAATCTAATTATGATTCTAGCACATTCCAATTTCATTCCTATTATTATTCCTGTTACTATTCCGTCACTGCAACCAAATACAGCCTGAGAGAAAAAAAAATTAAGTGGCACGCTGCATCTTCGCGCCGCAACTTATTTGACGATAGGATTTGTCACTTTTTCTTGACATTTTGGAGTGACAAAAATCCAAAATATGTTATTGCAGTGACGAAAACTATAACATGTATAATTATTGTGGCAATCTTGAAGTATTTTGGTATTATAATGTAATTATTGTGTATCAACAAAAATGTAACAGGCATAAATTGGGGCACGAAAGAAGTGAGATCCCGTTAATTTTACCGATTTGAGTTTTGTTACAGTAAAAAGCGTTCAGGAACAGTTACATCTAACTTTTTTACTACAGTAAAAAAACTCTCACATAAAGTCACATCTCAACTCGAAATAAAAATTCGAATCAGCGAACTAAACGAGTCCTAAATTTATGTGGAAAAATGGGTCTTTGATTTCTATATTGACTCGAGCGAACTTAGGTATATATATATATATATATATATATGTCTCCTTTGTGTTAATAGTTTGATTGTTGTACAATTTTGATATTGATAAAACTAGTAATTAAGGTCTTGTTCATTTTACCGATTTGAGTTTTTATAGTTAAAAGTTTTAAAAAAATGTCACATTTAACTTTTTTTGCTATAGTTAAAAACTCTTAGAAAATATCACATATCAACTCGAATTAAAAACTTAAATCTGGGAAACAGATGAAACTTAAAGGGTGCGTTTGGAATTTGTTCCAAAACATTTTTGTTTTTTGTATGAAAATGAAAACGAAAACGTTTTCATTTTCATTTTAGAATCATTTCTGAAAATGCGTTTAGTAGTTTTATTATGAGATTGTTTTCAGTTAAAAAAAAACTGAAATTGTGTTTGGTGGTTTAATTTTTAAAAATATGTAATAAACGTGATTATATACATCAAAACTGCAAAGGAAGAAGAGTCGGGGGGGGGGGGGGGGGGGGTTTTTCTGAAGGAGGGGGGGGGGGGGGGGAGTATTTTCAGTTTTAATTTTAAATTTTTTTACACCAAACGCGTTTTCTCCAATCATTTTTAATTTTTATTCTTAAAAACCGTGAAAAATTGAAAACAAACAGGCCCAAAAGAGCTTGTTTTGGGCCCGTTTGTTTCCATTTCCATTTTCGTTTTTCACGTTTCTCGAGAAAGAAAAATGAAAACGGGAAATGAAAATGTGTTTGGGAAAAATCTGAATCAAAACCAAAAATAAAAACGTTTTTGTCTTTTATGAAAAAGTGAAAATGAAAAAAACTTGTTTTCATTTTCATGTTTTTAGTTCTGAAAACGGATCTTTTTTTTTTTTTCTTCTCTCTCTTCTC